AGGGTTAAGTAAGGCCGTCCAATGTGCTCGTCCGTATTTTTACTTACTGATAGTGAGTCTGTCATTGTGGAAAAAGTGCAAATCTTCTATTGGAAAGTAAGCTTGCATGAGCGTTGCAAACAACAACTCTTAAACAGAGTTTGCATGAGGAGAAATGGGCTTGTGCACGCCCTCGCACACGTTTAAAGCCGAACATACATTGCGATATTATCAATCGTTGCACGCAGCTACAGCTCAAACTGTATGACGAAACCGTTGGGTTTTAAAGTTCACAGCTCACAATGCATGTTCTACACCGTGCGGCATGACGCTCTAATGTGATCCTACGATGCTCAACTGAATTTCAAACATGTTTGATTTTCTCCCAACCTTTCGGTTCGTGATTGAGAGGTGGTCACGCACAACGCACGATGAAGCAGAAACTCGACCCAATCGAAAAATTCCTGCACGACTTGAGAATCGTCCCAAAAAGGGGAAAAAATGTATAGTGAATGCCCGGCTTAACAGACTTCCCGTCTTGGGAGAGGGTGCAAGGTTTTTTTCTTAAGTGGAAAGGGCGGATCTTTTCAAAAATTCGCAAAAATCCCCAACTATACCTTTAAGCTTATCCTGAGTCTGTCGCACATTTGACCGACCTGAAAGTAAATGCCATGTCCGTTTACTGGAGCAGCCTGGAGATGTAGAGGAGTAAACACTGTTCGTGCTCATTATGCTTCTTAGATTTATTAGATTTTTGATTCCGATTCAAATATTTCTTTAACATAGCCGTTATTAACAGTCAATAAGGAAACTGCACTCATATGACATAACAAAGAACTTTATGCTTCACTCAGTTTTTATACTAGGCAAACTGTCATGAATGTAGCATTAAATTGTACAGTTATCCATGAGGTCCATCCCAATTTATGGATCTATCCCAAATTATCTATGATATCAACCTTTTTCATTAGTAGAGAGGAGAATGATCCCAGTTAGTGGGCGAGACATGGGGGTTTTCGAAATCCAAACTCAGACTGGGCTGATCAAAGAGTCTCTTTTTTTTTTTTTTTTCTTCTTTTGCCTAGTTTAGGTTTTGTTTAATCATATTTTACAGTGGCTTATGTTCACTGCTGCTTCACTAAATAAAGAATATACCTTTGTTAAAAGGTTGGGCGTGCAGGGAGAACAGTGGTGGCGCACGCGACCCATGTACGGAGGCCGTATTCCTCGACGCATGTCTCTCCCCCTCTCTCATACCCCCTTTCCTGTCAGCCTTACTATCCAAAAAAATAGCCACTAGTGCGGAAAAAAACGTACAAAAAACCTCAAAAAAAAAGGTTTTTCTTTTTTGATTAAACATGTATCTGTGTGTTATTCTATAGCTGTTTGGCACGGAGCTGTAGAGACAGAAATATATTATATTTAGCAGTTTGTCTGCTCTCTTTCATATTAAGTAATGTACCAAGTTTTAGCTCCTTACAAAATACTAACTGCATTTCTCCTGTAAAGCCGCAAATGCTGTGTAATTCAGCTGCTAAAGGTTCAACAGAATAGCTTATATCTTGACCTTGCCTGAATTAAACATATTCTTGAATTTTGCTGTCATTTACTGCTTTCATAGAGCTGAATAAGTTGACCCAGGATATTTGCTCCCTGCTCAGACTTCTGAAGCAGGGTCTTGGGAAGTCCTTGAATGTCCCGCCCACAGCAGCCTTTGTTACTTCAAATGTCTGATCGATCACTTAATAGATAATCTGACACCAGACAAGAGGAAAGGAAAAGGATTCAAGGACTCATAAATCATGGCTACAATGATAGAACTACTGATTGATCCAGAGAGAATTAAAAATAACAACATGGATTTTCACATCTTCTGTTGTCATCAAATATTTAACAATGTCTGTATTGCACAAGTTCTTAAAATACTTCTTCCTCTGGTGTCGATCTAAAACACACAGACATGTTTTTGGAAAAAAAAAACACGGAGCATTCCTCTCATAGCAAACGTCATTCTTGGTTAGATTAGATTTGGTCTTTATTGATCCCTGAGGGAATGTTTTTTTTTGTCACAGTAGCATCTACTTTAGTGCAAGGAAAGTAAACAACATAAAGTATAAAACTGTATCAGAGAGACAATATAAAGATGCAACCAGGAACATTCTGAATAATGTTTGAAGGTTCTGTTCTATTTCACAGTGATGGGATCTGAGGGATTACAAAACAAGTGTAACTTGGAAGTAAAAAGTGGTTACAAGACAATAGTCCCAAACATTTTGTAAATTTGCAACTTAATGGTTTAAAAAAAAAAAGGATTCAAGTTGTTGAGAAGGTTCAGAAGCAAATACAGAGCCCCCAATTCTAACAGAATACAGTTTCTATTAAGGTAAAAGCCTAAACATTCTCTTAAGGCATTAAAAGCAGGACACAAACATTCTTTGGGTCAGATGCTGAGGCCAAAAAAGCACATATAAAAAAAAAAACAAAAAAAAAACACCAGGATATATTTAACTTATTTCTTTATTTTTGTGAAAATGATCTATACACATGGAATAAAATAGACAATTAAATCAAATGTAATGAATAAGCACAAAACAGGCCATAATCTGCATGCTTTAGGTAAACAAAAGATGTAATTTTGAATAAATGGCATAAAAATAAAGCATTGAATATACAGTACAGCAATCAAGAATGGATAAGGTCAAGGAAGCTTTTACTAATCGACTGATATGTTAATTGATCAATCGTTTGAATAATCGGTTAGCCAAAGGTTCCTTAAAGAATGTTTTGTTTTTACAGAATTAAACCAAATGAAACTAAAACTTTTCCACTTGAGGAGTTCTGCTGGATAGAGCATATTTACTTTAGAAAATGTTTTTTTTATCTTAAATGCCAAATTTCTTCGATTTTCTTTTTACAATTTTGGTATAATCACTGCAATAAATTGTTTTCTCTTTCAGCCAAGGCCAAGTTTTAGAGTCTCTATACTCCAGTTAATGAATTATCAGTAACTTAATTAGCTGACCTTTTCTTCAATAATCGACTATTCATGATTAATCCGAATCATTGCTTCAGTGCGGGGAAAATGATTTGATGATATATGAGGATTTTCGGCTGATCGATAAGAAATCAGTCTTTCAGCTCCTTATATTGATTAAAAAAAAAATATTTCTCCTACAATAAGGAAAACAAATTTTTCTCATTTTTGTACATTGTCCGTAAATCGGGGCACTTTATACTTAATGTTCTTACTCATAGCAGTTACAGTGCTGTCATTATGTTTTAATGACTACTTTGATATGTCTGCACAGTACTTTTAGTCAAAAACTTGTACTTTATGATTGCTGTGTATGTAAAATTTTCTTTTTTTCAGTGAAAATGTGTAAAAAAAAAAAATGTGTGAATGATAAATGGGATACTTTGAAACAAAAGGTTTTTGACTTGATCAATATCCTCTAATGAACATATAAAAAGCACTTATAAAGCAATATATCGTGACCCTATTATATGGCAACACTCTTACCAATTGTCACCCCGATTAGAAACTGACTTTGGATATTTTTTATATTTTACTAGCCCAATGCCGGTAAAATCAAGAAGATAAAAAAAAATATATGTATATATATATACATATATATATATATCCTTGCTTTTGGCATTTACTTAATCATATTTAGTTACTTTAACACAATCATGGTATGTCCTATCCTGCTATCATGAAAGATCCTCATTTATTAAAGCAATCAAAAAAAATTTTTTGCTGCTGTTTTTTATTGTCCTTAAAAAAAGGTAAAGCAGTACCTTTGCAGTGGGTAATAAGCTTTCATAACGGAGTAAAACCTTTTTGCTCTTTGGCTACAAAAGTAGGTAATATCTTTATAGATTGGATGCAGTTTTATTCAGCAAAGCAGATGAATTTAATAAAGAAATATTTATTGGGGTGAGTCTTGAACGAATTCCTGGTAAATATTCCTGTTGAGTGATCCGTTTCAGTCGTGCTTGTTTGGTTTATTTTCTACAACAAACCATGCTCACGTTTCGTTTTATTTTCAGACAGTTTTTCCAGTTTCCTTTTATCAGCTTCTCTAACATTTGTATTTCTTTTTGCTGTCCAGGCTTACGGGCTTCCCTCCTGCTCTCTGCCTTCTTCATGCTGCTAGGATCAGTCATGCGAAGCATCCCGCTGACCGACCTGCACCTCAGACGATGGTAAGACTCCTGCATGCATAATGGAAACAGACGGTTTTGGAGGGCCAGTGTGATGCTGTGGGTGGAAACGAGGCACAGAGTAACTTGTGAAAAGCAGTGCAGCCAGAAGTCATGGATTTCAGAGCTAAAGGTGTTAAACATAAACATATTTTTTTAACCTGCTGAATGAGAAGGAAGCTGCAGAGTTTGGACCTCTTCTTGTCTCAATCCGCTGTCACGTGAGACGTCACAGGCAGTCATTATTGTAACTTCTGAGTTAATGTTTAAATTGCACATTTCCAGTATTTCAAATGTATTAACATAAATAAATAATAATATTACAACAACATAAATTTGGGCAGAAGACACTTTACTAAATCATTTTTCACCTTAAACTAATAAAAGCAGTATTCACAGAAGAAGAACATCCTGTGAGTTACTCATGGTGGGTGAAGTGACCAGAGATATTACACAGTTTGGAGAAGCAGTACTCTCAAAAGAATATTATTGAAGTATGGGAAAGTACAACTATTTCTAGATGTACTTCTGTTCAAAAAGTATCCAGATAAATGTAATTCAGTAAATGTGGCTAGTTGCTACCCACATTGTAAAGCTGTATTTATTTCACTGTTATATACATGACACTCAGATTCATATTCCACTAACAAAGGTTTTTCTAGACATGAAGGCCTGGATGACTCTACTTAAAGTCGTAGGGAAATCATATTTTAATGTCAAATCATTTTGGCTTAAACATGTTTATAAATGTACTCTATATCAGATGATGTTTTCTCTAAATTTACCACATTTCTATTTAAAAAAAAAAATCTTTTCTTAAAATCTATGTTTTTTTTTTTTCGTTATCTTATGCAGGCCAATTAGTTATACATCAGCCTGTACACCTAAATTCAACCAATCATATATCAACAGTCATCTGTCAATCAAGGTTTTTTGGTCATAGCATCTTGATTCATATGTCGCAGCTAATATATGCAACAGCTGAAATAAGAAAAAAGAATCGCTAACTTACCATTGAGTTCCGTCCCAGTGTTCACGGGGATGGACGTCTGTGTCTTCAGCAGGCATAGAGCTAACAGAACTGGCAGCGTTGCGAGGCAAGGGCTCAAACATGTACGGCTGTAAGCCTTCTACACCGAACCAAGCTTCTGCCGCCCTGGCGTCCTCTTCCAAAACAAATTTGTCCCCACTTTCCTCTAAATAACAAATGTATAATAGAGGAGACTCATCCACGACCTCAGACACAAAACTCTCCTCCTCTTGCATGTTTGCACTGTCCATAGCGTTCGTTGACAGTGTCATTTCCAATTTAGTGCTACTTAGTCCCAATGGAATTTCCCATTGGGAACCTACTAGTGCTAAGTTGCTAACTGGTTAGCAAGATGCTTCTAAGAAACTGGCCACAATCACACTTGCTCTTATTGTGGTGGTTAGGGCTCTATGCCCTAACCACTAGGCCCCCAAACCCCCTAATTACATTTAATTACCTTTACTCCCCCTAATTACCTCCCCCTAATAATGCACCTTTAGTAAATATATTAATGTAGAACATTTCAGTTTTTTTCTTTACAGTCTGATGTTTTTTTCTTATATCTGACTGTTTGGTTTTATAATATCTGTCACTTTAGGTATGGTATTTTTTTAATTTCCTGTTTTTGCTACAGCGTCATCGTTGGTGCTGTGTATTCTTGTGTGGAGGCAACGTTTTCCTAAGCCGATTATAAAAACCATACTGTGTTGATCTTTGAGTGGAACCCCTCTAGGCTGACTACATCACTATAGTTGGGTATTAATGTTACCACAGAGCTTGGCAGCTATTAGTTCAGGCTTTAATGATTTGAGACAGACGGCTCAAAAGGAGGAAATTCTTTAAGATACTTTAAGAAGGTAATCCATGCTGTTGTCACCACTGCTATGTATACACTTTATATGGGGCTTAGTGCTTATTTTCCAGAGGATACAAAACTTGGTAGCAAATCTTTTTAAACAGAGAGATAAATATGTGCATATTTGTTCCCAAAACCCCATGCGGTCTTGCTCCGTCCTAACCCTCCTGAACTGCTAGTCTCTTTTATTTGTCCTGCACATTTTAGATGCTTCTCTGCTTCAACATACCCGACTCCCAAAATGAAATCATTTGCAAAACCTGAGAGCTTGATTGCTTTTACTGTGGAAGTTCAGCCATTTGATTCAGGTTTCTAGAGCAAAATACATATCTAAAAGTTACAGGTCACCCTTCAGAATTTAAGATTAAGACCCTTACATTATTCAGGTTTTGTTGTTGAGAGGTACCATCTCAATCTGGGTTTAGTCGTCATAGAAAGGTGCTTTGAAAGGTGACATGATTTGGGCAATGTTCACACTGCAGCCTGAAGTGACCCAAATCCAAGTTTTTTGGCCCATATGCGACCCGAATCTGATCTTTTAATGGCAGTCTGAACAACACAGATCCAATGTTTTTCAATGCGACCCAGGCTACTTGGCTATGTGATCCTGAATCCGATATGAAGCTGATCCTTTCAAATGCGACCTGTGTCTGAACGCCAGATCGCATTTTTCCGACCTGAACGCCATTAATACTGGACAAAGGTACTCTGGATCTTGCTATGAAAAAGCGGCCAGAAAAACACCAACCATGGCAGACGATGCGGAGAGCAGTATTTATGTTTAACCATCTTGAAAAGATTGTGTTTTTATGGTTGGGAAAGATCGCTAGATGCGCTCCGGCACTACCATCCATGTTTACTTCCGTAAACACGAAGTACGCTTGCTTGTGACGTCATTGCGTCCTCTACTGCTCATGCGGGAGACTCGCATTGTACGACTGCAGTTTACACAGCAGATCATATCAAGTCGCATATATTTGGAAATGTGAACGGCAACATAAAGAAAATTGGATTTCACAAAAAAAATCTAAATTGATCATCAAGGCCTGCAGTGTGGATGTAGCCTTATTTGTAACACAAAGACAACGCAACAATGGAGGACAGGAAAGACATTGCTGCTCAGTCTAGATTAGGGCTGAAACAATTAATCGGATTAATCAGTTATTGAAACAATCGTCAACTAATATAGTAATTGATAAATCGTTAACTGCAGTATAGAGACTCTAAAACATGCCTTTAGCTGACAGAGAAACTCACTTATAGCAGTAAATTGATCAAAAAAAAAAAAAAAAATGTATGAACATTTTGCTTTTAGAATAAAATAAACTTTTTTGTCCATCAAAATGCTCTATCCAGCCAGCTGGAAAAGCTTTAGTTTCACCTGGTTTGACTTTGAAAAAAAATCTCCTTTAAGGAACCTTTTGATATTCAAAATAATGGTTAGTTGCAGCCCTTATCTAGAGTCTTTGTTAGATTTAAAGTAAGTAAGAGAGGTGAAAATGGCTGCTGGCAGCAAGACAAACAGCTGGAATGGATTGAAGCTGACCTTTGGATGTTAAAGGAGTCATTACCTGGTATTTTACATATACAGTCCTTCTAAAATGGCTTTTGATTTAATTTAACACCCCATATGATACCTCTTTTTTTTATTATGGTTTGCATGAAAATTGAACTTGTGTGTTAATGTAGCGTTAGCAACCTTAGCAGTTAGCTATGGTTTGTTTACCATTATGTCTGGGGCTGCAACTAAAGATTATATTGTAAATTGATTCATCTGTTGATTCATTTCGATTAATCGACAAATAATCAGATAGCCAAAGGTTCCTTAAAGACGTTTTTTTTTACGAAATTAAATCTTTTCCACTTAAGGATTTCTGCATATAGCATATGGATGGACAAAAAATATTTTTATCTTAAATGAAAAATGTTTATATATATTTTTTTTTACAATCTATATTATTACTGTTCTAAGTAGGTCCCTCTGTCAGCTAAAGGCATGTTTGAGAGTCTCTATACTCCAATTAACAACTAATCAATAACTAAATTAGTTGACGACTATTTCAATAGTCTATTAATCAGGATTAATCTGATTGTTTCAGCCCTAGTCATGTCAATGTCACTTACACAATTGTTAAAAGGTTACACACACCGCAGCACTGACCAACTGCCTGCAGGGGAGTTTCTGATTGTTGGAATCGGCCCTTTTTAATGGAAAAGAGGCAAGTATGGTAAAAGAAAGGTGTGGCTAATGTTAGCACCCTTCCATAGATTACGTTAGCCAAGGAGGAGAACCGAAATTGTGGGCTTTTTTGGTATGAACAAAGGGCACACATGGAAAAAAAAAACGATTACTCACACACTCTGCGTTGTCTGGCCTGTTTTAACAATAAACAAACATTTTAATGTGAAAAAGTCATATTTATGGTCGATGCACCTTTAACTTATTACTTTAGTACTCTCGCTAAATAGGATTACAGTGGTAATCTAATTTTAGATTATTAATTCCAACAAAATATTGATGTTTACATAATTACAGGAACTACCATTCAAGCCAGTGACTGTCGTTCACTGCAAGTAAATCCTGGATTATTAAGGTCAGGGACGAGAAGGAAAACATGGAAAATGCATGATTTCATGTCAATTCATTTAAAAAATATTTTTTTAATCCCAAAAGGAAATTAAAAGTTGCAGGAACTGAAGTGCCATTTTGCAACTAATTGTTGTAGATGTTAGCTGAAAACTGCTGTGGAGATGCTGCAGTCTAACCACTACTAACAACCACCATAACATTTGTCTCATTGTCAATATTCATTTTCCCATTGGAAATATAACTTTTTAACAAGTTCATGTTGGTTTCTTTTTTTTGTTGTTACTTAATGAAGAGAAATGCAAATCCACAGAGGAACTCGAACCTGAAAGCAAACTAAAAACCATTCTTGTTTCTAAACCACAACTCTCCTTTCACATCCATGTCGATATATAGGAAAAAAAAGGCAGTTAGTTTCATTTTGATTTGATCGTTTCTATTTCAGAGAATGTAAGAGGTCAGGAAAGTTCACTCTAGTTATTAACCCCTTTTCTAAATGGAGGTTCATTGTGTAGGTAATCTGTGCATTG